ACACATCTCATGTTATCGATCACAAACAATGCATTCTCATAGCATTAATCAACTCAACACACCATAATAACACGTAACAAACAATACCAAAACATGTTATTCTCATTCATCATCAATTCACAACATACATATACACAAAATCAAGTGTTATGTTTTCATCAAAAAGTCATCCAAAACCTATCCAATACACGTTTAATAAATTATAAAATTCATGATAATCCATAATAAATCATAAGCATGCAAGATCTTTAACAGTTCATAAAAATATAAAACTTCTCATCCCATACCGCACTAAGCGCGATGGAGGGCACTAAGCGGCCTCGCGAAAAACCATAAAAATTCTGCTACAGAGCAGTCTCGGGTTTCCACGATTTCAACCCCAAAAGTCCATCTAAACAATCATGTTTCATGAAATAAATGCATTATAATATATATCTATTATGTAGCGTTCATTACTAACATCAAAACATGATTTCAAACATCAATTTCATGATTTCCCATTCAAACCCTAACATGTTAAAATCTATAAATTGAAGAACAAAATCCCTAATCATGCTTATTGCCCATTACATATATCATATAATCCCATAATAAGAAAATTACCCACTCTTATCTTGAATGTAAATCCTTTTCTAGGGTTCTATCTTCTTCTCTTTTCTCTCTTTTCTCCTCTTTTCTTCTTTCTTCTCTTATCTTGTTTTGACAATTCTCTCTCTTTGTTTTATAAAACTCTTACTAACTCTTATTTCACTAATGGGTTTATCTCACTCACTCACACTAACCCATCATACCAAGGCCTAATTAATTAATAATGTTATTCTCACATCCAATAACTCAATACACATATAACACGTATATTCACAAAATTACACAATTTAATTAATTACTATATCAAATAATAATTAATAAATTAAACAACTAATAAAATAAATAATAAATAAAACCAGGGTGTTACAACTCTTTTCTCCCTTTTCTCGAGTTCCAAGTCACGTTTTCACTCGTCGGTCCTCCCCAATCTATATTCACTAAGGCAATCCTTTTACCACGAAGTTGTTTCAACTTCCGATCTTCTATTCGCATAGGTGATGTCTCCACAGTCAGGTTATCTCTTACCTACACATCATCTAATTAGACCATATGAGACGATTCTGTAATGTATCTCCTCAACTGAGACACATGAAACACATCATAGAGATTAGTAAGTGATGGTGGAAAGGAAATCTGATAAGCCACTTCGTAAGATATCTCTCTATTATAGATTAGGCATAAATATCATTCAAATAAAAATGTGTGTAGTATCATAAATTAAGCTAAAATGGAGCTTATATGGAAAGCACTAATAAAGAATGGGATTTTAATAGCGGTTAACAAGCATTTCCATAGATAGCCAACCTATAATAACTATTGAGCTTTAGCAGTGCTTTAAAGTGCTATTAAATGTCAAAAATACTATTAAAGAACTTTTTTGAGATAATGTATCATCAAGGCTCCTAACATAAATACAACAATCATACTTACACCATTTGTAACTAATCTGAAGCATGTAAGAATCAAAGCATTTGTACCATTGCCTTAGAAAATATTTTAAACTATACAAAGAGATCTTCCATTTACAAAATAGTCTACCATGTCCATGGTCACTAAATCCTTATGATTGATCCATGTAAATATGTTTATTTAGATTATCATGAAGAAATGATGTCTTCACATCCATATGCTCTAAATGTATGTCCCGGCTAGTTATCAAGGCTAACAGTTCTATGATAGAAGTATTTTTGAAGAGCAGAGAGAAAACATAATCATAGGCAATCCTCTTCTACTGTGACTATCCTTTTACTACAAGACATGTCTTAAACTTTTTTTCCAGCTACATCTAGTTCTCTTTTGAACACCCACTTAGAACCGATGTTCTTTTCCTTCCTTAAGAAGTTGAATCATTCTATTTTTTTCAAGGACTATATATCTTCCACCATTACACCCATCCATTTATCTTTCTTCTGACTAGATATAGCCACTCGAAAGATGGAAGGGTCTCTAGAACTAATAAAAATGCATAGGCTACCAAGTCTTCATATTTATATCTTTCGAATGGCTTGGTTGAATACTTCTTTCTACTAAATATAAGAATATAATCATGTACTCCCTCTAAATATCTAAGTTCATGGTTAATTTCAATATCAGATCCTAATTCCTTTTGTGGTTCAAGCACTGCCTGTTTATTGTTCCACTATTACAAAGAAAACATATTTAACCTCTAAGGCAAATGAATTTAACCTTGACTACAAAACTGGGGTAAGGAAGGGCGTTATGAAAAACTTCTACTTTACCATCGGTTAATATAAAATCGAAGGGTTAAGTTATATGCATATGTTCGAACCCCAGCATTTGCATTTTTATTATTTTTAAAATTAGTACATCATACCTCTCGATTTATCAATAAAACTGAGGGGTAAGATATATTTTTTTAAATCGTTACATTATTTACACAGGAGATTAATAAATTAATTTGTTTACAAACTACAATATTTATCTAGAATATTACATTATTTACACAGAATATTAAAGTAAAAATTAATTTCCCTTAAGATCAAGATTTTAGATCTTCAAATCATTGAATTTTGGGAAAGAGAAAATGTTGGGTGCAAGATATTTTCAATTGCTTTTGTATGCATTTGTTTCTGAAATAAAAAAAAAGGTTAGATAAATAAATGTTAGATAAATAAATGATTTTCTGCTCAAATAAATATATAAGAACATAAATTTTAAACCTAAATATTTTTCTGCTCTTGCAATCAATCGTAGAGATCTTTTCATAACAAATGCTCTTAAAAACCTTAAAGTGGTGGAGATAGATAGTTTCAAGGGATTCATGATGCTTCACTTGCTTTTTGATATATTCATAATACTTTTATAATAGAAGTTTTTTTTTTGTTTCACATGGATCAGTAGTGTCTTGAGCGTTGATACTCATCAAATAGACGTTAAAGAGTTGTTTAATGACGGTGATCAATATCCTCAATAATCGCGTCAAAATTATCTCCTCGATTTTGACAAAAATTGGGGTAAAATATGTTCACCCCTCAACTTATAAGAAAACCGAGGCAAATAATCTTTTTTTAAAATATTACACTGTTTACACAAAATATTAAACAAATTCATATTCATCGCTTATCTTATATGCATCCAACTTCTAATCTTTTCAAATGTTAAACTCTCTTCTTTGTTTAACTTGAAGCAATAATGATTTTCTGCACTTGCAATCTATCATAGAGAACTTTTTCCAACCTTCTTTAACTGAGCGTTATTTCAATAATACAACAATAACAACATCAACACTATTATGTGAGATAGATTGCAATGGCAGAAAAAATATTTTGTTCAAGGATAGAAGAACATTGAAGATTTTTTCTGACTTGCAATCCATCTCAAAGAATGATGCATACGAGTTTGAGGAAGCTACATATAAGTTATGATTAGGGAAAAACATGTTTAACGAGTGTTTTTATACTAAAATCTGATTATTTTTTCTCTTGGTTATTACGGAAATTGAAGAGATAGATCATTTAGTTTACACTTATAAAATAATAAAAATATAAACTGCAATAGTTGAGATTCGAAGCATGTCGTGAATTTTTTTTTCCCTCGATTATATTAAAAATTGAGGGAATATGTATTTTTTTTATAAATAAAACATGACGCGCCTTGACATTATATCTCTCTTTTTTGCTGAGGTGAAAATTTTGTCATGAAATATATTATTTATAGTAGTGTTCACTGGTGACGGATTAACATCCACGTAAATCACTTGTTTGCGTGAAGTTTCTCTTTAGATGTTGACACATTTATTGCAACTAAATGCTTCAATAGTAAGTGTTCATAAAAAATAACATATCTATATTATCATTTTCTTTTTAATTGGATCTCATAACTTGAATCCCTTCACACATTTTGTGTAACCGACAGAGATGCACTTCTTTGACTTTGGATCAAGTTTGAATCAATCTTCAATAGATATATGCACATAAGCTAAACACCAAAAATCCTTAAATTGTTAAGATCAATAATATTGTTTATCCATACCTCCTCTACAACCTTTCCCTCTAACAAAACCTATGGTGACATATTGATAAGATAACACGCCCTGTCAATTGTCTCTATTTAGAAATATTTTGATACTCCAACATTTAAACAAAAGACATTTTATCCATTTTGTTTTCTTGTCTTACAAACTTAGAAATTCTTTAAACAAAAGACATTTTATCCATTTTGTTTTCTTGTCTTACAAACTTAGAAATTCTTTTGGATATCATAGAAGCTCTTTAAATTTAAATTAGTGTACTGTACTTTCTACCATGATCTAATGATAAATACTTGATTTTTTCTGCCTGTTTGATTTTCTATCTCTACCAAGAAAAATTATATATAAATATCACAAAATACTTGGAACCATTCATGAAAACTTCTTTAATAGGCTCCCATATATCAATAGGGCGTAATCTAAAATTTCTTATATTTTGAACTTTTCTAATACTGAACCGAACACGACATTTTTTTTCCTAGTACGCAATCTTTATACAAATCCATCTTGCATTTACAAATACCCTTTAATAAATTTCTCTTATAAAATTTAAATGACCTAAATGTGTATGACATAATTTGGTTGTAAGATTATCAGACTCAACTAATTAAACATCACCTACAGGCTACAACATGTGTAGATTTTTATTTGCAATTCTCCTTGCTCGACACCCTTATTCCACAATGTATGAAGAGGAATCAACACGTTTTGCAAAATGACCCATTTAAAATCCAAACATTCTAGAATATGAGCAACAGTGAATTTTGACGGTGGCATATTTAATTAACAAAACAATATTACATCGTGAAATTAGCCAACCAAATTGAAGACTAAGCAACTAGTGTAATCTGTCTTAAAATCAAGATTTGTTTCTTCAACTAAATAAATTATTAATTACTAACTAAAAAACAAGAAACAAAGATCATAGCCACAAAGCTCCAGCTTGTTTAAGCAATGGAACCAATTCACCAGAAATATGAGTAGCCATAACACGTTCCAATCCACCAAACAACTTGCCACCTATAAACACCATCGGAAACTGTACAATATATTTCCCTTGAATCATCGGTTCCAATTCTTTAGCAACACGAACTTCATCTTTCTCTTCCTCCACCTCGTGAATCCCAGGGTTAACACCTAGACTCTGTAGAAGACGTTTCACCACATGAGTCATGCAGCAACCGTGTCTTCCAATCACTATCACCGCATTCTCTGAAACCATTTTCAGCATACAAGGATTATTCTCCTTCTCTTTCCTCTTGTTCTTGTTATAATAATAGTTTTCATAAAAGTTGTTGTTGTTGTGTGATGATAAGTAAGGAATTGGCTGATGCATGATGTGAGTTTTGACAGAAAGAAAGAATGGGTTGGTTATGGAGATTATGAAGAAGAGAATGTGGATGATGGAATATAAATAAATGGAAAATGGAAAAGATAGTTACGTCATTGATTGATTATTAATATTCAACGTTTGTACGCGGTGGAAATGGTATTTTGGTCTTGTGGGTGACGTTTAAGGTTGTCATCACACACTTCCACTGTATTGTAACTTGTGTACGTATGTGTCTGGACGGCGCCCAAGTTGTTGTGCTCCATGTTTTGTCATAATTAAACGAATCTTCTCGATCTCATTGTTGGTGAGATGAGATCAGATCCCTGACAAGACGGAGAATATGATTTATTCTCAAGTCAGAAGGATGGGTGAGTTTTAAGATGTCAATTTGTATACATATACGCATCGCCGTCTTACATTTTTTTCGAATATTGTAGAATAAGAATTTTAATTTAAACACAACTATATCGTGATTTTTTATTTAATTTGCAGTTTAATCCTAATAAATATAAATTAAAAAATTGAAACAAAAGTAATATTTTTAAAATAATAATATTTAAGTATAATTAATTTTCAAGTCTTTTAATTTAATTTAATATTTCACTTTGATTTCTTAACTAAAAAAATATTATATTTTGATTTTTTAGTGACTATTCTGTTAATATTATTAGTCTCTTCTGTTAACTTCTGGAAAAACAATTAACTTTTGTCAACATGACATCACAACTAAGATACTAAGTTTAAATTTGAGATTTTATTTCTGGGGTTAAAAATCCCCCACAAATTGTTAATAGTTTATAAAAAAAAATGACAATTACTCTCCCTTCATTAATAATATAATTATTTTTCTGTCAAATTTTAACATTCATATAAGTATAACTAAGAACACCAACAAGACACAACAATCTTGTTGGAAATCCACCAATACTTTATGATGAATTTCGACCAACACTGATGATTAGTTATGACAAACAAATAAAAGAACAATAGAGATATTTCTGCAGAGTTTCTCTCTGCCCACAAACTGTGGAATCTTTATTAATTCACTTTGCAACTGCAAAATACTGTGAATGACTTGATTACAAAAATAGGGGTTACTCCCTTTATTTATAGATTTAGGTTAGCTTGCTCCCTAAGCTAAACCCAAGCCCAAAATATCTCTTTACTAAATCAAATCTAATCAAATTTATTCTAGATTTAAATTCAAATCTATTTAAATCTAAACAAATCAAATCTTCTTTTGACACATATGAATTACAATTTAACACACCACCTAATTCATTGTGTCTAAACTGTCTATGTTCATCATGACTCTTAGCTTTTTGAATATTTCGACTTGCACTCCCTTCGTCATGATGTCTCATGTACACCTTTCTTTCTTCGTCATGTTTCACAAACCCAACTGGTTGTTTAACATGGACTTCTTCATCTAAGGGTCCATTTAGGAATGCACACTTCACGTCCATCTGACATATGTGCCAACTGTTGATTTCTGTTAGACCAACAACCAGCCTGATTGTTTCGATCCTAGCAACAGGTGCAAAAACTTCATCGAAGTCTATTCCTTCTTTCTGTAGAAATCCTTTCGCCACAAGTCTTGCTTTGTGTCGAGTTACTTCACCTTTCGAATTAGTCTTCACTTTGTATACCCACTTGACATCAATTGCCTTCTTGCCTTGGGGAAATTCGACAAGTGACCAAGTGTTGTTGTCTTCGATAGACTTTACTTCTTCGTTCATTGCTTTCACCCATTTCGAATCTTTTAATGCTTCAGCTGCATTAACAGGTTCGATATCTGCATAGAAAGCATACTGTACCAGCTCACCTTCATCATCGATCACATCATCTGATGTAATCACACAATCTTGCAATCTTGCAGGCATGCGTCTTGTTCTTTGAGGTCTGCTTGTACTGGGTATATCTGCTGGCTCCTCTTGTCGAACTTCTCTTTCGACTTGAGTTTCTGGCTCTTCGAATAAGATTCCCACTGAATCTTTCTTGACATTTGCAGTCCAATCCCATTCTTTGAACTCATCTATGATCACGTCCCTGCTGATCACAATCTTCTTGTTCTCTGGATCGAACAACTTGTAGCCTCCTGTCGAATGATATCCAACTAGGATCATTTGACTTGACTTGTCATCAAGTTTCTTTCTCAACTGATCTGGCACATGTCTATGTGCAATAGATCCAAATACTTTCAGATGACTTAAGCTAGGCTTCACACCAGACCAACATTCTTCTGGAGTAATTCCTTCTAGCTTCTTTGTAGGACTTCTGTTCAAAATGTATGTTGCAGTCGAAACAGCTTCACCCCAGAACTCTTTGGGTAAATTCTTGTCTTTCAACATACTTCTCACCATGTTCATGATGGTTCGATTTTTCCTTTCTGCAATTCCATTTTGTTGTGGAGTATAGGGTGGCACCACCTCATGCACAATCCCTTCTTTTTCACATAATCTGTCGAAGTCTTTCGACACATATTCTCCTCCACCATCAGTTCTCAAAACTTTGAGCTTTCGACCACTTTGTCTTTCGACCATGGACTTGAACTTGGTAAATACTTCGATCACTTCACTTTTCTGTTTGATCAGGTAAGTCCATAGCTTTCGACTGAAATCATCTATGAGTGTAACAAAGTATTTGTTACCTCCCATCGAATCCACCTGAATTGGTCCACATACATCAGAGTATATGACTTCGAGATTAGCCTTCGATCTGCTTCCTGCATCCTTGCTGAAGCTGTTCTTGTGTTGCTTCGCTTGCACACATTCTTCACATACTTCGTTTGGAATGTCAATTTCAGGCAATCCTGAAACCATATTTCTTCTCTTCAAATCTCTGATGTCTCTGAAGTTGAGATGACCAAGTCTATAATGCCATATCCATTCATCTCTGCTAGCTGCAGTCGAAAGGCACTTGTGCTCCATCACATTTAGTTCAATCTTGAAGGTTCGATTCTGAGACATAGGAGCCTTCAAGATTAATCTCTCATTTGCATCAACGACTCTCATCAACTTATTTTCGATTGACACTTTATAATTCTTTTCGAACAACTGCCCTATACTGAGCAAATTGCTCTTCATGCCTGGTATGTACAATACATTCGAAATTACTGACTTCTTGCCATCTTTCCTCATGATCATAACATCACCAGTACCTTCAGCTGCTAGGGTGTTGTCATTTGCAAATTTTACCATATTCTTCGTTGAGGGTTTTATATTGACGAACCAGTCTTTCCTTCCAGACATATGTGATGAACATCCTGAATCCAAGTACCATTGGTCCTTGAATCTGTCTTCATCTCTTGTTGTGACCATCAGCATCATCTCTTCTTCTTCTTCATGTTTTGCAAGCCTTGCATTAGTTTCTTGATTCTTTCGTTTTTCTGGACAATCACTCGAATAGTGACCATACTTCTGACAATTGTAACATTGAATGTGACTTTTATCAGGTTTTCGACCACCACCTCTTCCTCTGTTTGCAGCACCACCTCTTTGGTTGCCTTGGTGTGGTCTTCTTTGATTCGACACGTCTCCTTCGATTTGGTTTCCTCTACCATTCAATTTGTTGTAGCCACCTCTACTTCTGTCGAAATACTTTCCTTTTCCTTTGGTCTCTTTTGCTGCATGTGCCTGCAAGGCCACATCACTCTTCGATTTTCCTGCAGCTCTTTCGTTCATTCTTTGTTCATGAGATTCGAGCGTCCCTTGAAGCTCTTCCTTTGTCAATTTCGACAAGTCTTTCCCCTCTTCTATCGCCACCACTATGTGGTCGAACTTAGGAGCTAAGGATCTCAGGATCTTCGAAACAACAGCTCTTGTTGTTAATGTTTCTCCACATGTCTTGATTTGATTCACTAGTTTTGTAACTCTAGTGAAGAAATCAGATATGTTTTCACTGTCTTCCATCTGAAGCAGTTCATAGGTTCTTTTGTGAGTTTGTAACCTCACTTCTTTCACCTTCTCAGCGCCTCCAAAAGATTTCTCCAGGATCTCCCAAGCTTCTTTTGCATATTCTGAATCACTAATCTTTTCGAAATTGTCTGGGCTGACACATTGATGAATTATAAATAATGCTTTATAACTCTGTTTCTCAGATTTTGTATATTTCTTCTTTTCTTCTTCTGAAGCATTTTCGCCAAGCGCTTCGACTCCATCTTTTACAAGGTCCCAAAGGCCTTGACACCTTAATAGGACTTTCATCTGCTTACACCAATTCTCATAGTTGTCAACTTTCAGAATTGGCAGCGTTGCTGGATAGTTTGCATTCCCATAACTTGTCATCGTGAATTCTTCAATCGTTCTTGATTGATACTTCCCTTGAATCATAACACAAGCTCTTGATACCAGATGTTGGAAATCCACCAATACTTTATGATGAATTTCGACCACCACTGATGATTAGTTATGACAAACAAATAAAAGAACAATAGAGATATTTCTGCAGAGTTTCTCTCTGCCCACAAACTGCGGAATCTTTATTAATTCACTTTGCAACTGCAAAATACTGTGAATGACTTGATTACAAAAATAGGGGTTACTCCCTCTATTTATAGATTTAGGTTAGCTTGCTCCCTAAGCTAAACCCAAGCCCAAAATATCTCTTTACTAAATCAAATCTAATCAAATCTAGTCTAGATTTAAATTTAAATCTATTTAAATCTAAACAAATCAAATCTTCTTTTGACACATATGAATTACAATTTAACAAATCTTTAATTGAGAAAGTACTATAAAAACCACTTGTTGATTTGAAAAATCACTTCTCTCATTAACATTAGCATCTTCAACTATTATTAAAACCAAATAAAGCTTATCAGAAAGTGGACCATCAATTTCACTGAATTGATCAAGTGCCTCTTTAAAAGTATTATACTTTTTTGTATACAAATATTTTATTTACATACCTATTAATTCAGTTTCATATAATCATAAATATAAAATATTTTATTTTATTTACATACAATATTCATAAATGAAGATATGCTTATCAGTATGTCA